TTTTGTTTGCCTGTCTATGGTGAGGAAAAACTTGGGTTCTTGAACATGTATGTTTATCAATAAAAGTCCTAACTTGAAACATTTTGCAATCTTTTATTCTCTTTGCAATCATACGCCACGTACAGTTTTTGTCAATCATACACCTTGTTTCGAAACGATCTTTGCTTGATTTGTTAACTTTTAGTTGATAGCCATCTTCCACACATTTCGTATATAAAGCTATCTTCAAGTCTTCCTTTGTATCAAAACAATCATCTTTCTTGATACGAATAACTTTTGTGTAACAATCAACTGCTTTCTTTATCAACTCTTCTTCCGGTATCTGAAGTAATTCTGGCATATTCCAGTTATACGCCCGTGGCATTTTCTTTTCTTCGGGGACTTTTTCTTCTTCTTTTTCTTCTTCAGGATTATATGAATTACAGAATGGATGTTCAACATGTTCATTCACAGTCGTAACTTCCTCCTCATTATCATCAACATTACATTCTTCGGCAACGGCTGTTTCATCATCAAAATTCGGGTATTGACCAATATCAATATCATTACACGCATGGTATGTTTCTTCTTCTGAAACATCATCAAAATCCGTGTATTGACCAATATCAAAGTCCGGATATTGACCAAGACCAAATTTCGAATACTGACTAGTACTCACAATTTTTTCTGTTGGCTCATCATCGTCTAACTGGTCAATACGAAAACCGGAATTTGGTGCTGAAAGTTGATTGGGATTTGGATTAGAGAAAGGTTGTGGGTTTTGAGAAAAACTTAGTTGATTACTACCCGCTACTGACCCAACAATACTACTTCTAGGTTCAACAACATACAATGTAACATCATCTTGTGAAACACTAATGTAAGCAATGAATCGTTCAACATCTTCATTGTCGGTTAACAAATAAACTTTACCATTTCTCTGATAAGATAGCCTAAATCCACTTAGGGGCTCTAAATTCAATTTATTTGAAACACGTAGCATTAGAGTTTCATAAGTTAACTTTTGTAAAGACAATTTTAGTTGAAGATTTATGGGTAAAGGCATATATTGTAAAACACCATTAACATTATCCCATGACCCTCCAAAACACAAATCTATCCAAACATGATCAACATTAGATGATTTCATGGTTGTAACTAAACAAACGAGATGCGAAACTAAGACCTGTTGCCGGATGGGGAAGGATGTCGTTGGATATAGGAACGGATGTCGCCGGAGAGAGTGATAGATGGAGATGGAATGAGTTGCGATTTAGGGATTTAGTTTATGATTTCAGTGTTATATACCCAAAATTTCAGTGTTGTGATTTACAGATTCTCGTTGCGATTTACGGATTATCGTTGCGATTTACAGATTCTCGTTGCGATTTACGGATTATCGTTGCGATTTACAGATTCTCGTTGCGATTTACGGATTATCGTTGCGATTTACGGATACGCGTTGCGATTTACGGATTATCGTTGCGATTTACGGATACGCGTTGCGATTTACGGATACGCATTGCGATTTACGGATACGCGTTGCGATTTACGGATACACGTTGCGGTTTACGGATACGCGTTGCGATTTACGGATACGCGTTGCGATATACGGATACGCATTGCGATTTACCCATACGCGTTGCGATTTACGGATACACGTTGCGATTTACGGATACGCGTTGCGATTTATGTGTTCGCGTTGCGATTTTCATATTCGCGTTGCGATTATGGAAAATCGCAATGCGAATTTGTACTATCGCATCGCGATTTTCAAGAATCGCGTTGCGATTCTGGAAACTGATTTGCGATTCTGGGGATCGCGTTGCGATTTTTATTTCGCGTTGCGATTTTGTTGGTCATTTTGGCAAATCTAAAAAAAGTTGGTTAAAATCGTATATTATAACTTTTTTTTGGTCACTGAGGCGATTTTCTCTAAAAAAAAAAAAAAAAAAAAGAGAACGAAGCGAAATGAAAAGACAGATTACGAGTTTGTGCGTGAATCTAATGTTAAACAAATCCAACTTTTCATCTTTGGTTTTGTTAGATTCACGCACAAACCTGAAATCTGAATCATCCCCTTTTGGCGGCTTTCCCCCTGTTCAACCAAAACAAAGAGGGACAATGCTGTATGCTTTTGGGAGCGATGAACCCTAATTTATGTGTTTAAAATGAAACGCGAGTATATGACGACTGATCCCATCAACATATCTATACTGACGACTGATCCCATCAACATATCGTTTAAGGTCACCTTGTGAAATTTTGACAGCCAGAAGTACGAAGCAGGAGAAAAATCTACAATAACCGATTAACCGCCGCCAAAAGTTAAATTCCCTGAAATTGATAAATATCTATGCTTTGGGGCTGATCCTCTTTAAGTCGTGCTTCGGCTGATTAAAACAATTGCTTTTGGGCTAGTTGACTGAACTAGGCGGGCCTGCTCTGATCTGCTCCGGTTGAACCAAAAGGGTCGTCACTTAGTGCTCTTTCAAGCCCGTTTCAAAGGAAAATTTAATCCCGTGTATCTTTAAAATACTATTTTATTTTAAATATAATTCTTATCCTCTAGTTATTAAAATTAAAATCATCAGTAAATCACTTTCATCCAGAAGTAATAATGCCTTTAATCTTATGTTGCAGGGAACCCTAACTTCAATTAAATTATTGCATATTATAAATTAAAATTATTATCTAATAAGTTATTACATTTATTAAGGTATTTAAATAAATTATTATTGTTAATAAAAAATAAATTAATTAAATCGGTTGTTGATGATTCATCTTTATTATTTACGTAGAGAGTCGTAATTGATGTAGGAATTCAAAAATGTGACGTGGGAGAGAAAATAAGTAATGTAGATAAAAATTGAGGAAAGAGAAAAATATTTTTTTCCCTTAGTATTTCCTCAAAATATAAAATCTTGATTATAAGGTGATTGGTGTTAGATTTTGGGTCAACATACCTGTTAATAGGATGACAAGCTATGCACATACGCTTGTAAACGATCATATTTTTCTATTAAAAATTATGTCAAAGACAAAAGAATATAGGCATCGGAGAACGATCTCAATGACGAATGATTTCGAAGATATAATATTTTTGAAGTTTTTAAAATTTTGATAATTTTTGAAAGATGTTCTTCGAATGTACAACACGTTAAAAATAATTTAATATATATAATCAAAAAAATTTAATTAACATTAAGTTTGGGAGCACTAGAAAATCTATCATTTCTCACTTATTGACATTTACACTTTTTTCATGCCCCTCGCGAAGGGAATAAGGTAGTAGACGCGATGATGAAGTTGGCATGGAGTTGCCTTTCGACGTTAGAAATTTCATGCAATTTTCGAAGACAGAATCAACGTTGTTGCAAGAGAATGAAATTGGCAACGATAAGCATACTGTTTATTGTAGTTGAGGCTACGGATATTTTTTTCTTAGAAAAAAGTAAATAAGTCCGTAAAATTATGCCATTTTTTGTTTTTGGGTATGTAAAACTATTTAGGGTAAACTACATGGGAGACCACTAAACTATGGTAAAAAATCAATGTGACTACCGAACTTTCAATAGAATCAATCAGACCACTCAACTATTTAACGGATTCAATCAAACCATTGACCGCTAATTTTTAACATAGGTGGTGATGTGTCCGTTAATAAATTGGCATAATTATATTTAGTCCTTAATATTTACATATTCTATCAATTTAGTCACTATTTTAATTCAATTAAATAAATTTAACTATCCAATTAGAATGTGACACGTGTCAATATATGATTGGAATATTTTATTTATGAATTTTAAATTATTTAATTAAATAATTTATCTATTCAATCAAGTTGTGACACGTGTCAAGGGAGAGAAGCTATCGGGCGCTCAAACCATTAAACCAAAAGTCCACAATGATTTAAACTTACAATAATTTGTATTTGACTTGTAAAAGTTTGTTAATGATAAACAATTAAACAAATTATTTGTTTAAACAAATTGATTGTAAATTGTTTTTTGAATTAAAAATATTCAATTGTTATATAAATTAGATAATTTAAAAAAATTGTTAATTCAAAAATTGACCGAATTACCTAAATTTGTTCGGTTCGATTAATAATTTTCAAATAAATTTTGGTTCGATTAATGGTTAAAGAAAAAATTGGTTAATTCGGTTCGGTTAATAATTTTCAAATAAATTTTGGTTCGATTAACGGTTTAAAGAAAAAAAGTAGGTTAATTCGGCTCGGTTAATCGAACCAAAATTTATTTGAAAATTATTAACCGGACTGAATTAACTGGTTGTTTGAAAATTATTAACCGAGTTAATCGAAACAAAAAATTGGTTAATTTGGTTCGATTAATCAAAATTTTGGTTAATTCGGTTAACCGAATTAACTTTTTTCATAATAAACTCTTTGAAATGTTGCTTTCATTTTAGTTATTGGATTAGAACTCTATCGGTTTCTTGTCAGTCTTGAAGCCTTCCTCCATTTCATTTTATTATAACGTTGGTTCCTAGCTCACCTATAGCTAGTGGGTCACGTTTCATCATCTTCCACCTCGATTCCATCATATTATATTGTTGGTTCTTAGCTATATAGCTAACGGTCGTAATCAATTTCCTTGAGATTCTTCATACTACAAACCAACTCCCTACTATCTTCACCAACCTTTTCATCCTTTATTTTCCTTAACCACAACCATCACTCTTCCTACGCTGCTAATCCATTTCAACATTTTTTTCATCTTTACATTTCTATATTTATCTATCTATTTATATTTTACAACGTTGTTTGTGAATTTCAGATTACATTCAAAGTATTGTGGAGTTCTTACTAGAATCACGATCGGACATTCTCATATAACTCGAAACATATAGTCGAAATCATATCAATTACATAACAACTTTTTGGTGTGTAATTGTGGCATATGCCTTCTATTTCACTAAAAAAAATATCTTGAGCTAAAAGCAGCTGCACCATAAAAGTTTGAGAAGGGAGACCTTTACCTTAGACAAGCACAATGGAGACAAATGGTACACTGTTTGCACCGTTAAGTCCTATTAGTTGAGGCAAATGGCTGGATAAATCTGTTTGACAGTGACATATCTATGCTGCTTTAGATTTACCTTGATAGATCTGGCAGGATTTGCAATTTTCTTATCCGTATGATCTGATTTTTGTTTGCCATTATGGAGGCCAAATATTTTTTCTTTGAAAATTTCTTGATCCAGAAATGTCTTGGAACTCATCAATGATTTTTCTTCCCTTATTCTTGGTTGCAGATGGTCTGTTATACTACCTATAAGTTGGAGTAGGGTCTTCTGGAATTTTCTGGTCTCCAAAGGGGCCCCTGTGATAGGGATGAAAAAACGCTGGATTGCTGGTGAAGTAAGTGCTTGGTTCTGAGAATCCTGTATTGCAATGCCCACTTATCCAACCCCGGATGTTAACCCCCCCCCCCCCTTTTTTTTGCAGATTGGATTGCCTTATTTTCCTTCAGATTTCCCTGACTGCCATTCATACTTATCCTTAAATGAAATTGAAGCTATTGCCTCTAGGGAAAATGCAGAGCGGCGTCCTCCAGCTGTACGACCTTTCAGAATTCCAATTCCATCACCTTGGAATGCTGTACATGCTGCTTTTGACAAGCTAACCATGAGGGTAAACAAAGCAGCTCAAGTTTCAAGTGGTGAAAATATAGTTGGTACTTCAAGTTGTGAAAGTGATGTAACATCATTCAGATCTCATAATTCATTTGATGGCATTGTAGCAAGGACATCCAGTGTGCTCACTGACTTCTTGAATGACATTGGGGGTGAACATTTACTTTTATTTCCTCAATTGCAAAATAACACTCGAGTCTTGTTAAGGTTATGAAGGACAAAGCATGATGGAAAAAGGCCAAAATGGGACTACGCAAATTAGTTACAGCTATAAGTTATATTTTGTAAGGGTTCATCTTCATGCGTACAAGGAGGGTGTTTTTGAAGAAGGAGCTGTTATATGTGCACCATCTCTTGCTGATATATCAATGTGGACATTCAGGTAGTCATTTAATAAATTTGTGTACATTCCAAGTGGTTCTTAATTTAAAAATGCATGACTGTAAGCACGTGACAAACAAGCTGTTGTGCAAAAGGATAATCGAACTGCATGCTCCGATCCTTTTCTCTGGTTGCAAGTATCATCCACTTTTAATATGATCAGAGTGACTTGGTTTGTCCTTGACACATCTTTGCATCTAATCGATAAATTTACGTTATCTGCGAGATTAATCGGTTGAATTTGGATATTTTGCAGCATAGACAGCATTGAAGGTGCACTTGAAATGCCTAATTCTGCTGTGGGGTCGTACTTTAAAGAACAACCTTCTGGTAAGTGGGAACACCAGGAATCAGATGACCCAGCTTCTATAGAATATCATAGGTGGCCAGTCGGCTTTGTCACCATGGGATTTGTTAGAGGGAGGTTAGTTCATGTTTTTTCAAATATTGAATTTAGATATCATTAAGTATCAACTATGGAAATTTTTTTAGATCATCTCTGGTTTTGCATGGTGAATTTCATTTTATATGCAGCAAAAAGCTGACAGCAGTGGCGTACTGTGAGGCAGTCTTGCTTGCTTGTATGAGAGAAGAGCAGTGGAAGGAGATGGCAGTGAAGCGTAGGAGGAAGGAGATATATGTGCTTGTTAGGAACCTTAGGTCTTCAGCATATAGACTTGCTCTTGCCACCATTGTCCTGGAACAACAGAAGAGGATGTCAGATTCTTATGAAATTCTCTATCTGCTGGACCATTACTACATCGGGAGATCATTTGAAGACTTGTTTCCCAACTCCATTGCCCAACTGCTCGTGGCAACGAGGAATCATTTGTTGATTTTCTTGGTATTTTAATTAGTATGAAAATTGATTACTTAAATGGAAAACTATATTTATTCGGAAAGGAAGCAGAAGAAGAAAAAGCAGCTAGGCAGTGTTTTGAAAACTGATCTACACCGGTTGAACCGCTACTAGTGAACCGGCCAGAACCGCTGAACCGTTCGAACCGGACCGGCTGAAAACTAAAAAAACCGGGAAAAAATTGAAAAAAACCGCCAATTTTGTTTTTTTTAAATAAACCAAACGACGTCGTTTGTTAAACGAGCCAAGTCGAACTAAAGTATTGCTGAGCTCGACTCGAACTTGAAAACTTTAAAAGTAAGCTCAACTCGACTCAAACTCACAAGCTAAAAATTATCAAGTTCAACTCAAACTCGAAATATAATATTGAAACTTGAACTCAAAAAGGCTTGAACTCAAAAAAAATTAGAAGCTCGATTGAAGCTAAAATTCGAGCTTGATTGAAGTGAAAGAATAGTTCACTCAATGCTCACCAAAAGACTCCATGATTTTGAATGCCAAATTACCTCTATTATTTATAGAAGTTAGTTGTGATGCACTTCTATGTTTCTTAGCAATGTGAGATTGTTTTGTTCTCATATTTTACTCTTTAAACTTTTGGGATGCTCTTCTATGTTTCTTAGCCATGTGAGATTGTTTTTAAAAAAAAATTAAACCAAACAATATCATTTTGTTATGATTTTTTAACCCCAAATTTATTTTTTAATTATAGTTATATAATTATATTTACTATTTAATATGTTTTACCTTAAATATCATGTTGTAGTTAATTTGAATCATTTTGTTTCACTTGATTTTATGGTTTTTAACTTATATATGTTATGATTTGCTTTGAATATGACTTGTGATATAAAAAATTATTTTTCATTAAATATTTTTGATATTTTTATTTAATTTTTTAAATAATTATGACGTCGTCCGGTTTTTTCGACCGGTCGGACCGGTTCGACCGATTGAACCAATGAACCGGTAGCATGGTCGATTCGCTAACCGATCCGGTTCTGAAAATAATGCAGCTAGGCGACGAGGGTGCTAATTGTTTTTTATTTGTATTTTCATTTTACAAGAATAATAATAAAATTCTTTATTATTACATAAATTTAATATGATTAGTCTAATGATCAATTTATAATTTTTAATAGTTGGATCATTTTATAAATTTTAATAGTTTGTGTATTAAAATAAGTAATGTCCTATAGTTGGGGACCATTTGTATATTTTACGCTTAAGTTTGTCGTTATTAAGAGTGGAAAGTATCTAAATTGAAATTAGAACACTGGAAGAATCGTAAAACGCTTTAGCTGGATCTTCCCTGTGCTTACAGGAAGGAGATCAACTTCAAAGACCAGAAAAAAGAAACTAAAACTCCCATTTTCCCCTTTTCATTTCGTACTCTTTGTGGACGAAACTAACGCTAAATCACAGGTATTTTCTCTCCCCCTCTATCTCTATCTTGTAGTTAACCGATTTGAACTTGACGGTTTCATAACTGTTTTCTTCCAATTCCTGCTTTTTTCAGAGATAGTTCTCTGTTCTAGGGTTTTTATTTCCAACTGGATGAAAAATTAAAGTCAGGAGACATCCTTTATATTTTCTTTTCGCTAGTTTCATATATTTCAATTTTCAACTCTTAGATCTTCTAATGTTCAATTTCAGCCTCGATTTTGATACTATAAACTTTGGAAATTTCTCGTAGCTTCGGTCTATTTTTGCGTGTCTATAATTTAAGTTCAAACAATTGGACATCTCTTATATCTGTTGTTCTAAGTCTGCCAAGTAGAGCAATAAAAGGTGTTAAATCTATGTTTCGTGGATTCCAGGATGAGTGTCACGAGTATATTCAATTTGTTCCAAGCCTTTTTATACATTTGGGAGATCATGCTTTACACTCTTGTTGTCCAAAATATGTGGATTTTCGTACACTCGATAAAATATATTTCTGTACATATCTTTAACTAAAAAATGTGGTTTATTTACTGCTTCGTAGCTAATAATGAGTTTATTGGCTCTAGGATTTGACTCGAGTTTTTGTTTCTAAATTCAGGGTTTTATTGTTCGAACTGAAGTTCTAAGGTGATGGCGAGGATCAAACCACAAGCTCTGCTACAACAAAGCAAAAGGAAGAAAGGGCCATCTCGAATAAGTCTTACAACAATTATAATGTCGACTTTGATTGTTGTTTTGATTGTGCTTTTTGTCTATGCCTCCTACAGACATTGGACTCAAAGGTTCGTTCAATTTGGCCGATGGGAGTAGGGATTTAGTGCTGCAATGCTTTTAAACTTTATTATGTCCACGCTTTGTTGATTCATGTAATTTACTGCATGGCTTGCTAATTGTAGAGCAGTACTTTTAGAAAGGAAGTTGTTTGTAGAGAATAAATTGGCTAATATTTATTATTCAGTAAATAAATATTAGCCTTAATTCAAAGTATTAGTCATTGAAATTTGACCCAGTTTTCTTTTCTTTAGGTCAAGAATGCATATAGAGAACAAGCAATCAGTTATCAAGGTACCCTCTTGAGAATCTTGCTTATCATTCTGAAATGGCCTTTTTGATCCTCATGGCATCGTATTTTTTATAAGTCTTTGTTTTGTTTGTATCAATAAAACTCTCAACTCCGTGCCCATTATCAATGTATCATCTTTTAAGAACATTTGAAGGCAACTTTTCTCTGTTCTTGTGTGCACATCCTTAGTTCACGAGGATTTTACCTGTTTGTTATTATTGTTTCTAACTTTATATCCTCTCTAACGACTGTGGCCACTTGTATTTGGTAGGGTGACAACTCTTTCATGGATTCCAAGAAATCTGATCTCCCAGGATACGCTGTAGGTTCCTTTACTTGCTAAGCTCTTCCCTAATTAATATACTATGCCTGTGTGTATATTGTCTACCTTTTTGTAATACTGGCCTGGAATGTGTTGTGCCTAGTTCTGGGAAACAATATTGACCCTAGATGATTAATTTATAACGGTTCCATATCCAATTCAAATATCCTTTCTTATAATGCGACTTCATCTAAAGACATTTCAAAAGAAATTGTTTTATCATGTTCTTGGTTGCATCGCCCATTAACAAAACATATTCATTAGCATATCTTTCAATACGGCATCTTGATATGTTATTCCTTTTGAGTTTTTCCAATTGTATCTTACTATATTGACAGATACTTTTGGTAATGAATGAAATTTAGCTGATATTTTCAGTTATTACTTTATCTTACTTTTAGGCTTTACATTTAATACTTATTTAAAATGAGTTTTATCCATTGACTTAACTTTGTTTTCTCCCCTCTTATGACTAGATTTTAGATACCACTAAAGGCTCTATAACAGTGGAGCTCTTCAAGGACAGTTCTCCTGAAGTTGTTGATCAATTTCTTGATTTATGGTAAGTATTGGAATCGGTGTTATTTTTACTTAAAATAATGATTTTCTTTATCTATAAGACTATAACTATCATAAAATTCCCTGTGATCAATATTTGAACTGGAAAAAATTATTGTAGTTAGAATCAAAAATAGTTTTGAATTATTTTTCTCAATCAAATTTCAGTTTTATTGCTGAATCATAGGCTAATCTTGCAGAATTCTATATCTAGTGTTGATTTTGTTGGTTGAGCATTATGCATCATCTCAATCTATCAAGAAGGCATGGAATTTATCACTATAGTTTTAATTCTTAAGAGTCATTCTCAAGCTTGATTTGAATTGGAAAATTCGTTTAATGGAATAGATGTGGGCTCGGTTTAGTTTAGGTTCAGTGGTAAGTCAAGTTCAGCCACATTTTTAGTGTCTTATCTAGGTAATAAAACAGAATGTTATTCGTTTCATGGTTTGTTTAATCATGGAATAGGCAGGCAGGCAAGCTAGCACCTCTAGGAAGTGCAGTGCCAAAATGTCATTATTTTTACTTTTAAAATATATTCCCTTTCCTCGAACTTGATGTGCAACTGAATTTGATTGATATGCA